TTCAAAATTTCCTTATCCACATACGTTACAAGTAACGAAAACTAGGAAGTATCATACTTTTGGAAAGACAAACTTAGAACGAGCAAAATCTGAAATTGTGGTAATTCTATAACGATGAATTAAATCTGTTAACTACTACATGCAGACATTTGAATATATGGTGAATTATTCAACACTTTCCTTGAAACTATTTGTTCTCGAGTGATATCCGTTCACCTCATACACATTATCAGTAATAATTCTTCTACAAACAAGTTTCAGATATCCACTTGGAAAAAACCCATTAGAAACAACTACTTTCACATCAATGAATTACACAAAAATTAATTTTTCCCATTCAATTTGTAGTCCTCCAAACAAATGTGGTATTGAAACAGATATCATAGAAACGCTACATAACATAATATATGAAAAAGTATTGATAAAAATGTCACTCACATAGAATACTATCATACAAAGTAGATTTTCAGTCCCCTTCCATTAAAAAAATTTAGTTCAAAAGAGAATCCGATAACACCCAAATGAATCGGCTGGTATCGCACTGAATACTCAGAACTGTAATATAGGTATTCAGCAGCATATCTAATCAGTTGTAAGGAAATTTCAATACATAACCATGAATACATTCGAAGTTGATTTGTGTCAACTATGTGTTCATAAAATAAAATGCTTGAATATCTTCTTTTACTGTCGCACTTGCTCGCGGCGGAATCTTGTGGAGGTAAGTATCTATATTGTTTCGACAACTACTTCATTATAATTGTGGTAAATTGAAATATTTGGTTTGTGAGCAAAGAAGATTAAAGTACTCTGCAAAAAGTTGTTGGATTTGCCATGCACACTATCAACCAAGATCCCTCTGTATTCAGATTTATTTCCCTATTGTAAAATGGCAGACGTCACAATCAATATTGTTATATTATTCAGAAGAAACGGTTTCCATTTTGCATTCTACACTTCTTCCCCATTTTATGTATTTATTTTTGATAAGTGGAGGCTCTCAAAAATTAATATTAATTTTCATTTAATCGTTCCTTCTTCATGGTTTTGAACATTATTCAAGAAACACTTCTTTGCGAGATTTTCAATAAACAATGGCTTTTTCGTGCGTGTCTTCACGATTTTTTAAAAAACTGTTCTATGAAAATCTCACAATAAAGTGGTTTTCGTACAACTGTCATCAAAAGTGACATTTTTAATGGATATCAAGAGTATTAAAAGATGATGTTTACAAAGTAGCGTGTTGAAAATATTTATAACGCTAGTTTTGGAGGTATTTTTAACGCTAGTTTTGGAGGTATTTTCAACATGATTTTTTTCGACAACAAACCAATAAACAAAACATAATTCAATTCAATTCAATTCTCAAGGAAGTTTTATAATTAGAACAACTGCTGATATAAATACCTTGCGATGTTGAAGAGCCTTGTAATATATTTGAACCAGCTGAAGTGACAATTTCATGGGCATTAACATTCAATTCTTGAAGTGAAGAGGACGATGCTGTAACGCTGGAGATAGCTGTTGGAATTATTCTTTCAGCAATAGCTTTTTATAAGAAATAGATTTATTGATCTAACCCTCAGCTACTGTTGTAGACTTTCATCCTCCGTGCTTCTTAATATCCGTTATATTTGCTCTTGATTCTGCTAGCAAAGAAGCAGAAGACCTTCTCAAGCAGTGACCTGTATATTCCTTTGGTTCCGAGAGGTTCAGAAACTCTGCAAAGGTAGAGGATATTTTCCCAAACATCTATAAAACTCTGGACTTATTAAAACGTGAGAGTTTTTGATTTTTTGGGCCTATGACTTTCATTTTTCCGCTTCAAGAATGATATTACCTTGAAATATTTGCTTGTTAACTCCATTTTCGATTTCACTGAAATTTCCTTCGACTTTTTTAAGTCTACATCAGCTAAGAGAATTGAAATATGCCATGCCATATTGTTGAGCCGATTTTTTTGGTAACAATTCAAATCAAGCTCTTTTTGTAGCCTCTTCCATATCGTCAGGAACACACAATTCCTTACTATTGTTTTTCATTATGCCAGACATTAAACACCAGCAAAAAATTTGAATGAGACTTTAAATAAAACGCATGAGCTGTAAACATTACTGTTTGTTGGTAACCAGGTGATTCGGCGTCACCTGACACGGCGACTTCACAGCAAATGCGATAACATAAAATAGTTGACTGACAAGAGACGTCAAAATTGTTTTTATGGAAATATTGAATTTATCTATTTTATTATGGAAACAGGACAGTTGTACTAAAAACTTTGTATGATATTTGTGTTGGATTTTCATCCAGTATCGGCCGATTCCATCATATATAGTTTAGAACAGTTGAAATATTTTGTAATTGAAATTAAAGAAAGTACTGATAGTGTTTTGACCATTAACAGAACCTGGTAATTTTCAATTGGGAATATGAAACGAGTCGAAACAATACTGATTTCATAAAATACTAATATTCGAAAAAGATGGTAGATATCTTTATTCTGCTCGATATCTTGAAATTATATAACAAAATCGAATGTTGATTCAACTGTGAGGTTTTCAAATTAGCATCAAATCAGTTGATGATGTGGGTGCATGCAGAATAACTAAAATAACTAATTGTATCTGAATACACAAAACGTTTTTTTTCTTGATAAATAAAAACGATATTGCTATAAGCACAATACATCTTTCCATTATTCATATCGAAAACATTCCAGGATGCCAACGGTATGCCTTTCGTCTGAAAATAAAACACTGGGAACTTCAGAACTTCAGAAGTTATATCAGTTCGAATTTCATTAGTGTCTATCAAATCCATTAAATTAGAATACTTTTTTTTTTAAGTTTTTGGGTAGGTATCAAAACAAATATTTGCCCTGAAAGAAGAATTGGTCGCAGCTTATCACTGGAAAATACCTACTTGATGTAATTTCTTTGGATGTGATAAGAGTAATACTCCATATCAAACTTTCATGCAATATAAATAACATGAACAGTGCCTACGATTTGAAAGAATAAAATCTGGGCTATAAGGTTGTGATCGAAAGTAACAAACATTTCGTCTGCTACTACGGCAGACACCTTTAGTGGTATAGGTGTTCACTGCGAGGATGATAATGGTGGTATTTCGAAGTCTCATATAGAGTGAGGAGCTCTGTATTTACTCGTATTTAATCAGTAGAGGGTGGTGTAGATGAGGTGTCCATGAGAATCCTCACGCAATCAACTAGGTTCATTGCTAGGTTGTTGTGATTGGTCCACGTAATAGGTATGCTGCTAGTGGTATTTCGATCAAAGTTGTAGTCTAGTCCATTCTTTGCTTTCCTGAGTACTGAATACCATGTTCATTTGGTGTACTTTTTTGTTTTCTGTTGAAATTATTAGGATGCTTGTAGATCTCAGTGGCTTCCCTACAAAGTGGTATTTGGCAGTGCATGTATTGGATATCGTCTTCATTTCTATACGTGTTCTGTTTCTGCTAGGACATGTTCTGCTATTGTGTACTCCTCTGGTTGTAGAATTGTGTTCCTGTATCCTATTGTTGATGCTATGTTCAGTAGTACCGGTGTGAATTGACAGATGCTCTCTTCCGTTTTGCAGGATGTCCTGTTCAGTTTACATCGAAACCACCAAACGCACCATCAACACCAGCAACATACAATAGCAGAACATGTTCCGGCAGACACAGACCAGGCTATAACTTGTATATACATGTATATTTATTATGTGCAATGAAGTTATTCATATCGATCCCTTTCATAGAACTGAATGTTTTCTTGAATTGAAAAAATCTTTGGTCAGTCTGAAACTCATTGTGATATTGTTCGCTGGCTGATAATAATAATGATAATAATGAAGGTGCTTATTAATTTTCAGTAACAATGACCAAAATTCGGTATGATACCCAATTGTCACCGGAAAATGCATCAGTTCTTCCACCTAACCCGATGAATTGAATTTCAGTTTTTGGAAAGTTCATAAAAGTATAATAATATATGTCTATTGTTTACATCGATATATCGATTTCAAATTTTTATAAGTAAACGTGAACTGAGCAATGGATATACATTGAGTTGAGAATTTAATATTTTCGGGAGAGAAAGGTTTCAGCTTTCTACTTCTTCATCCTGATACAGTTGTGGGAATCTTTCAAAGAATAGGAGAAAGCAATCAATTTAAAAAATTAATAAAGCCGTAACTTTTTCAAAATATGGCCTTTTGGTATATGAAATTATCGCTTCTTTGATAAAATCGTTTGTATTTGTAACTAACGTTACTGCAGTTTCTTTCTAAAAGAACATTTTGAAACGATTACAAAAAAGCCTATAAATTGAGAATATAATACCTGATAATCACTGAATGGCATTAATCTCATTATATAAATGAAGTTTGTGAAAATATAAATTTTGAATTTTTGAAAATTACCCATTTCTTTTTAATTGAATGACAAAAATTGAAAAAAAAATCAGCCCACTCTGGGACTAGCGGGAATTATTGTAACACAAATTGAAGATGAAAAAATAACGATTTTATTTAAAAACGATAATTTCATGGAGTTGATCAAGCTGATTTTTTTACTACCTTTACAGAAAATTTATTTAATGAAAACAAAAAAAGATACCAAAAGGCAAATTTTTTAAAAAGTTATGGCTATTTGAAAATAAAAGGGATATTTTTTCAAATTCATAACTTTTTTTGGTTGGATACGTTTTTTTGAAACTCCCAAAAATGTTTTCCGAAAGATCGAACGGAATGGAAAACTTTTGACCAGATCGAAAGTGATCGGGTTGGAAAGTGGTCGATTTGGTATGGAATAACTCATACTTATATAGCAAGTCATGTTCAAGTAGTCGAAATTTCAATTTTTTGTTCACACTTTTGACTTCAAGAATGTTTTAGGGTATTAATCAATTTGTTAATTAGAACGTAAGGTGAACACTGCTGACTTCACTTTGATAATGCGAAAATTATATTTATCAGTTATTTCTCTTCCACAAAATGGGATAAAAGAAGACTGTCAATAAAGACAATATCATTATCAAAACAACTGGTGTGTTTGTTATAAATTATTCATTACTTGCCATATGTCGTGCTCCCAAGTTCTGATTTCTTTCCTACATACCACTTCTATACCATACAAGGTTTTACAAGGAAGACAAAACAATTTTTGAACACGACAATAATTGAAAGAGCAGAGGAAACTCGGCATTGAATATTCAAAATGACCAAGAGTTATTGAAAGATCCTTGTGCCCGGAGAGGAAAAAAATGTCTTTGTACTATTGAAGGTGCTTATCTATGAAGGTGGCATAACCTTGAAAACAAACACTGCATATTTTCCACAACTGTTGCCTAATTTTCCAACTTTCATTGGATTCTTTTGCGGTACGTAGGGCCAAAATCAATTTACAAGCAACTTTTTCAAATAACTTATTGCGGTATCTCCAACGTGAAGCAAAATAGAGAAAATTTGCCCACCGACATTTGCGACATCGCAGTAGAGGCCGTTCAAGTATTACGAAAGTACTATAGGGGGGTGGGGGGTATTTCCCTTGCTTATTTTTGATGACATGGTGATTGCGTCAGTAGCAACATATGGGGCAACCCACACATTGTCTATGTTTTAAAAATGCATTTAACAATGTTTACGTGAGTATGGGAGGGGGCGCTAAGAGCCTTGCTTACTTTAGCTGACAAGGGGGATGGGAAGGAGTCAGTCACTCCTTGTGTGATGAATTTGGTTACGTAATACTTGAATGGCTTCGTAGGCTGGATTAAGGGCTATCACTCGGGCTGAGTATTGCGAAAAGTGCGGCCCATGAAGGTCTAGGCCTATACCATAAGTTAAATCACTTGACTAAAATACAGGGATGTCTTAGTTTTAAGTGTATCACACTGTACGTCGATCAAGTTTTAGCGACTACGTTACTTAATGATTAACACTTTCTTGCTAGTTAGGGGTGTATTAGCGAAAAAATCCAATACGAATATCAGAATATTTTCCCTCTTAAATATCAATAATTTCACTTTACATAATCAAAGAATAGTGAGGAAATTTGTATCAGAAACAAATTTATCAACTGTTGCAAGTTTTAACTTAGTATTCTCTAAATAGTTCTCGTTATCAATTCCTTGTGTTGCCATGATTTCTTGTATGCAGGATTTGATGTCATGACGATAAGTCAACTCTGTTTCATTTCCAGCCTTACTGAATTCGATTCCATTCAAAATACGCCTTCTAATCTATTTGAGCTGCTTTGAACTAAGCTCAAAATATTTGACATAATTAAAACCGTGAAAATGAAATGTCATTTTGTATCAATGAAAAATCATGAAAATAAGTTTCTGAATTATACAATTTCGATATTCTCCAGATTATTACTGGAGAGATTTCAGCGGGAGAATCCCATCTGATGCTATTCCTGCGGGAAACAATGCTAATGGATTATCTTACATCGGACAAGCATATTTGCACCTATATGGAGTAGGAGTGGGGACCATAATTCCAAATACCTCGGAAATCTTAGTTCCATGTTACGGTCATGTTCATGCCATCAACACTTTTATCAAAGTATGTATGTACTTTCAGCTACATGTTCCGTCATTTATTGATATTTCTCGCCTACTTCGTAACACAGTTATAACATTCATAACTGATTTCATCTGAGTCATTAATTATAAACTTTACATTCAAGAGTTCGTATAAGACATATATTGATGTCAACCAGGATATAAACAACTACAATATTATAGATAATTAAATATTCTGAAAAATATGTCTACTTTCACTCAAAAAATATTGACTACAGATACATTTTGGAAAAATTTTTAAAAGAAGAAAATTTCTGAAATTTTCACAAAGTTTGATCTTTACTGAAGGGAATTTTCATCAGGCTTCTTCCTCTTGTGCGCTGTGCTGTTATGCTGAAAGAAATAAGTATTATCTCAATACATTGAAAGATAGAAACCCACAAAAAACAATTTCTATCGATTTTGAATGAAATTTCAAGTTACCGATTCTTGTATAGTTTTGCTGCTGTAATGTTCGAATCACATTATTGAACATCAACTGGAGAAATGGATCTGCTTCAACTGCTTCTTGAAAACCTTTTAATAAATGGATCTGATGATGCTCTCAGCTTGCGGCATTTCCCGTTGCTGTTAGAAACTATTGATCATAATGAATTCCACCAATAAAAAAGTGTTTTGAAATTTTGTTTGGCTGTTGATTCGGAAATCCGTTTCAAAGTACCAAAAGTTTGACTTCATATTACTTATTTTTAAAGTATTCCGCATATTCGATCTGAAAAAGTGATATTTTTCATGAGTATATGAAATGGAAAGACAAAAAATGTTTTTTAATTCAAATTAAAATCTGACGGTCGCATTATTGGCTAAATTTATACTAGCTATAGTATAATGAAATTTTGTAAGTTAATCTTGAAATTAGTAATAATACATTTTTAAAAGCTCATCCATTTCAGATATTGAAAGACATAATTCATCAACTTCACAGTATACAATAGATATTTGAAACGGTTGTATTGAGTAACAAAATATTTAATAAAAAAATGAAACACAATTATTGAACCATATACACTTCCAGAAAACTGAAAACTGTTTTCAAAAAGGCTTTCAATCTTCACAAAATTTAAAAATGAGTCTTTATGACACACATTTAAAAAAAACGTCAACCAAAAAAAGTTATTGAAAGAAATCCAGAAGTTTCAATTTTTAAAAGAAAAATTGATATTTGTGAAATGAAATACTTCTCAAGGAATGTGAAGGGACACATCAGATACAAATCAAGGGTGATACTTTGCAATGAACATATCGATAATTGATTGGATATTCTGGAATTACCGTTTGTAATATAAAAGTTGAATAATAAAATGAGTATAAACCTCAAATGCATTAAATGATATAGAGCTATATGAGTCGATGTGTATTTAGAATGTAAATGTATTCAAAACTCACTCCAGTTTATTTCAATACAAGTTCAAAATGTTCAACATTCATTTCCTGGCAATAATGGAGTCTATTACCAAATTTATTCCTTACATTATGAAATGTTTCAAGGGTAATTTCGCTTCAAGCAATCATCTGAAGGAACAATTCGTTCAGGCCAGTCTTCACTTACCTACACACTGGGTTCATGGACTGTCACCTATCAGAAAACAACTACTACCTTGGCTGGTACCACGAAGGGCGTTGGATTACATTCGTCAGGTACCAGTGCACGATTCTTCACAGAAGTAATTCCTGCGTATGCTACTGGCGATACAACTGCCGGGATCGATTTTCAATAATTATTGGAACGGACACATATGCAGACCGGTTTCGGCCTATTTGGCCTCTCATCAGTGCAAGGTAGTGTCCTATATCAACCTGAAGTCGATGATTTCCCATAATTAAAAATAAAATTCTGTGAGAGTATTATACCTCGAACAAAGCTAAAACAAACAACAAGCAACATATCTGCCATCGCTTCCTGTGCCTGTAGACGAGGTATTAACTGATGTCCACGAGTTCTGAAATAAACTGCGATAACCACAGTTTATTCCAGAGCTCATAAATGGAACGAAAAGTGCTCCTAATGAAATAACAACAGCAACATTTCTTAATGTGATAAATGAATTTGTAAGACAATATTATTCATTATCAAAGAGCGAATGTTGTAAATTCCAAACTACTAGTTGATCAGAAACGGCTAATCTGGTTTCTAAAAATAAACCAGCTTTGAATAGATAATTGAAAAACCCATCAATCGAATCATTACAAGATGTGGTGAAAAGAAATTACAAAATTTCACATATTTTCAGATATTATGCTCTTCAATTCCTTCAATGTTTCATTGGATACACACTAGCGTAAGTACATTCAAGATGAATGTTAAGGATCAATGTCCAGTATTAGGGGGCCTTGACCGCAAGACTTGGGACATTACAGGTACCAAGGGCAAATTGAACATCGGAAGAATTTATCGTAATGGAGAAGTAATAGTTGGTCCAGTCGCCTCTTATGAAAACAATGATGTGTGGTTCTATTATGCTTCCAATGGAATTGAAGTTCAAGAATCACATTACGAAGTTCTCGTATATCGTGGTCAACCTACAGTTGATAATGATACCGTAGTCAAAGAAGTTTCGTAAAAATAGAAAATTGGAATTTTTTCACCTGTGTTTTTATTGAAATTATAATTCATAACAATTGAAAGTGTAACTAAATCACACCCCTTAATAAAGTGATTCCAAAGACCATAGAAATATGAGATAATTTGTAGCACTTTTGACGAAAATTGAAGAATTTCACTGTTTTTTGATTGGAAAAAATACCGTTCAAGCAAAGCAATGGCTTGGAAAGTGTTACAAAGAATCCGTTCCATCAGAAACAACAATTAAACGTTGGTTTGCTGACTTCAAACTTGGTCGTAGAGACACCGATGATGCAGAATGCAGTGGACTTCCAAATGAGGCAGTACCTAACACTAGAATAATCGAAATGTGAAGTTTTATGAGTCAGCTGACATTGTGAAGATATCAAAGAACGTGTTGATTTTATATAGCATGAACATTTTTTGACTATGAGAAATCTCTGTGCTGCGCAAAAATATGTACTTGTATACCTTTGGTATAGTAATGAGTAATAACGGTTTGATGTTGGGAAAAAACTAGTAATATTCACAGATATGTTGTTAAAAGAAAAGTTGTAAGCATTCTCTTGGCAACAAATGATGTAACACTATTTCCTTTCATATCCTCGGAAGTACTGGAAATGGTTCATCCATTTCGTCAGTCATTGATATCTCAGGAAAATTGTTAGAAGGAATAAAGTTTGATAACCCTGTACATGAACACAGATGCAGTTCTCTAATCGGAAACACGTCACAAAACGAGGGAAATGTCAGAAACTCAAAAATTGGGTATAAAATCAATTATTTCAGAATAAATACAACTGACAGAATTTGCACGACATTATCAATCAGAAATATTGAATCTGTTGTAGAAAATTGAAAGAAACATAATAAACCAGACCCTTCAAGGTCACATCGCCTTGATGTTACTAAATAACAACAAAAAAAACAATCAATACGTCATAGTGGTGGGGGGAGGCCCAGAACCTGCTGTAATCTGTGATGTACACATACCACCTATGCACCAGACATATTTTTCAAGGTCATATGAACCATACATATTTTTCAAGGTGGCATGCACCGACATATTTCTCAGGGTCACATGAGTCGGTCTAGGTCATCCACCCCACGTGACGTCATAGTGGTGGGGGGAGGCTTAGAACCGGCTCAAATCTCCTACTACTATGACTCAATTATTTGTTTATTACAATAATTGCAATAGTCTAGTCAGAGTCACACTGACCGAGTTGAAGACTGAGTTCGTAGAAATTATTATTATATGAGTAGATGAATTTCAAATAGGTGAATGAGAAAATTATAGGAAGTTACCAACATAAAATACACATTACATCCGCATTAAAATTATTCTAATAGTTGGCAAACTGATTCATAGTATTCTGTTTCATTATCAAACAGTTCTGATTCTCTCTCACTGATATCTTCCTTGTATCAGCTTGGTATGATACAGTGGTTGGTGCAGTATTGAAATATCATGTCATACATGTCATGTCATACGTAAGAATAATATCTTAAATGAATGCCAGTTTGGATTCAAATATATGTCAACATATGTCAACAGATAATGCTGTCTTTTAATTGATTCATAGTACATGGAATAATTTCAATATTGGCAAAAAGTGCCTAACAGTCTTTTCAGATTTGGCAAAAGCCTTTGACACTGTCAATCATCATATCTTACTGAGGCGTTTAGAATTTAATGGAGTAAAAGAAATCACCCTTAAGCTTTTTGAAAATTACTTATCTGGCAGAAATCATATTGTTAAAATCAACAATATTTATGATCCACTATCTATAACCATGGGCGTCCCCCAAGGGACAGTACTAGGCCCAATTTTGTACTTAATATACATCAATGACATTTACAAACTTGAAAACATCCAAGGCAGCATTATATTTTATGCAGACCATACAGCTCTGTCATTTCTAGGCGATACGTGGGACGACGTCTTTGAACGAGCTGATAGGGGACTCACATCTATTTTCTCTTGGTTAAACACACGTATTTTGAGCCTGAACATCGCTAAAACTAAATAATCAACATTTACCCCCACAAATAAAGATCAACCTTCCAAAAATAAACTCACAATACAGAAACCTATTTGCCAAACCCCAATGATATGCACATGTCCTACAGTTGATAAGGTAAACAACATGACAATGACGACAGTTTTGTCTATTCACTTTCTAGTTCGAGTTAATCAAATGATTAGGTATCATAAAAACAGATATCATACATAAAATATCTTTTCCGATTCATCATGTTGCTAAAATATCCACATGGTGTTGAAAATTTATACTTTATTTTCATCATCCTTTCGAGATCTTTCAAGATCATATTCATGAAAATGCAAAACGTGAACAAAGTCATATATAAAGAAAGTGAAAATGTCTTTCAGATATGTATCAACACTTCAAAAAAAACATTGAAATTATTTGCAAAGAATTTGTAAGAGAATTTATTTCGATGGAATAACCCATTCATTTACGTGCAATTCGGCAACATTCAATAGTTTTTAAAAATGAAAAGCTGAGGTCAGAAATTGTTATGAAATTAAGAGTTTCAATTTGAACAAGGCATTTTTACTTTTGTTTCAGAATGTCTACTCCAAACAAAAAGTTTTGAGAGTGAAATCATTGTTTCTAGAAAAGAAATAATAAATATACGTGATCTTCCCGTAAATACATGTGTCTGTTTCTGTAATTTTCAGTAATATTGTTCATTCATCTATTAGTGAATTCGTATATTACTTCATGAACACTCTATACATGAGCCAAGTACGAAAATATTATTATTATATAAATGCGAGTTGACTGACTCAATGTGTGCATGTATTTATTATAGATTAGATAATTGTTTTTCTGATAGTAAAAACTGAATTATGTCCGCTATTTATAGAGCTCATTTGTTTCATAACTATTGCAAATCAAGTTTTTGATCAATAAATAACATTAGTTAAGTAAATCACACTTCTCCAGGAAATATAGCAATGCATAACTTGAAGTAATATGCCAGCCAATTGAACTACTTTCAGTAGTGTAATTAATGTTTTCATTCATCGAAGGAAAAGGAAATAATATTAGATAAAAAAAGTACTCGATTTGAAAGAATTAGGTAACATACTGCTGGAAATGGAACCCTGACAGTCGGTGAGGAATGTGGTGCCTATAGCAACTGTGCTGGAAGGAAAAATTGATAACTTTGAAACAGATAACGAATGATGAGATTATTTGTCAAATAGTGGAATCAGCTGGAATACTTGACCCAATATACACATGGACAAACATTGCATGTCCAATGCTTATCCGAAATGAACTTTACGGATATCCGCTGGACGTCCAATGAATATTTCATAGATATCCATAGGCCACCAGATTGGAAATCCAATAGATATCCATTTTTGTGCTTCGCTGGACCCAATTTGGTCATAAATTATGAAATGAAGGAACAAATATGAACCTTGAAAGATTCATTTGGCCTTAAGAGATCCAGGCTGGACCTCTTAAGGCCATTAACCTATCATTTGGACCCATTTCGACGTACTGTTTATACCATCTATGGATGTAAATTGAATATTTATGTGAAATATCATGAACTTTAATAATATATTCGTATCAGAGTATGAAAATGTACAACAAAAAAATAAATCATAATGCTAATCTCAATCTGAAAAAGAATATGTTTTTCACAAAACTGGATTTGGTGGAATTGAAAAGTTATTGCCAGTATCTGAAAAAATATAAAATATTAGAAATATATTGAATTTCTTGATAAAAAAGTTAAAAAAATTTCATGCAAATGATAGCTGATAATTATAAACTGAAACAAATAAGATTTGTTTTCCTCAGATTGCATTTTTACAAAGTAAAAATTCAGTTTAAAAATGCTGGAATTTCATATATGTGACGAAATAATTTTTCAAAGTGGAAAAAAAATCTTAATTGAGTTCAACAATCTGAATAACGATATTAAACGAAAGACCAAAAATGTATTGATTGAAAATAACCAAAATGGGTAATACGTAGAAAAAAAACAATTTATTTATTCATTTATTTATATATATGACTGTCATCAACCGAAGACGATTGTGGATAATGAAAATCAGAAAGTCGTGAAGTACTTGGACATTCTTAATTTTTATTTCATTTCATTTGTTTGCTCATTTTTTATTTTATTGTGATTTCATTTAAAGGTTTTTTGCTTAATGTAACTGTTATTTTCAGCTATTCATTTCAATATTCAATGTTATTTGTTCTTTCAGAGATTCCAAATCATATTACATCATATTAGACAATAGAAGTCCGAACTAATGCAATTTACCCATTTTGTTCGGTAACGGACTGTTTATATCGTGAGAATTGAATACATCTGAAATTTCTACTTTACCATATGATTGTGCCAAGACATATTGGTGTCCATTCCAATCCCAACAAACTCATCGCAGCAGAAATCGGAATTGTCTATCCTGACATTATTATATCCGGTTCAGAGTCATTTATCTTTTCGGAGAAAAACGATGCGTGGGTTTTTGTGGCAGTGAATTGAACCTGGTTATTTCCACCACAATTCGAAATTACTTCTAGATCCTTCTAGATGCTGCCGGTGCAGATGTGCATTCGCAGCTCATGTCTTGGAATCCTAATGGAATGACGAAACAAGTGTGCTGTCGTTAGCAAAACAATATATTGGATTCTTCGTTTTTCCCAATAAGTCATGATATACAATAAAAAGAGGGTTGGAGACCATATAGATCTCTGGAGAACACCAGCGTTGATGGTAAAAGTATTCGAGAGGTATCCATCGACGGCCACTTGCAGGAAACTGGTGAGCCATACACAAAAATGATCCAACAAGCCATAGCATCGAAGTTTGACCAGCCAACTCTCATACCATACACGGTTGAAGGCCTTAGAAATATCAAGCACAACAGCTCTTGACTCTCCATGTTTCTCGATTGCGTTATTTCAAATATGGGTGACATATGATAGAAGGTTGCCTGTTGATTTTTGTTTCCGGAAGCCATA